ATATAAATGTACGACCAAAATATTGTGAAATAAACCCTCAAAAAAGAATCCCAACGTAAGATTCGACTAAAAAAATTCACGAAGATATAAATGTACGATCGAAGTATTGTCAAACAAACCCCCCCCAAAAAATTCACAGTCTAAGACGTAGTATTCACCAACAAAAACATTCACGAAGATATAAATATACATGATAAAAAAAAAAAATATAAATGGACGACCAAAATATTGTCAAATAAACCTCCCTAAAAAAGAATCACAACGTAAAACGTAGCATTCGCCTAAAAAAAATTCACGAAAATACAAATGTACATGATGGGACAAAAAATATACATATACGACCAAAATATTGTCAAACTAACCACCCCCAAAAGAATCACAACGTAAGACGTAGGATTCGCTAAAAAAAAGTTAGTTAGCTAAAAGTACCATCAAAATATTGTCAAACAAACCCCCCAAAAAAGAATCCCAACGTAAGACGTAGGATTCCCCTACAAAGAATTCACGAAGATCGCTAGATTTCGCAACATCCACAAAGGGTAGATGCCCCAGCCAGAGATCGCGTAAAATGGCGTATTTAAGAAGCGCAAGTTAAGCAGAACATCCTCGACGAGAGATCGAAATTCCCAAAGTAGAAATCCACGTTCGATTCGTTTCGAAATCACTTGTGGGAAATCATCCCTTCCTCACTGGCCAGGCGTGTCGGTTTTTCGCTCACGGGCAGCCGCCGGGTCAGAAACGTATGGACATTTTGCGTCCGTCTGTTTTCCACCGCCTGCATAATGCATACGACGCATCCGTGCACTCCGGGGCCAAGCCCCTTTTGCACTTACCTTTCGCTTCTGACGGCCTCTGCCCGCCTGTAACGTCTGGTTCCATCTTCCCCCGTAGGGAAGTCGCGATACTTTGTCCGTCCTGGCGTGCCCTTCCACCGTCGCGCCCTTTCCACGGCTGGCTGACCAAAACCCATCCCCCCTTCCTCGTCTCGCGAGACTTAGCTACACCGTACACGTTGCGGTCCCGGGAACCTCGTGAATCGTCCCGAGATATCGGCCCGCTAATCTTTCGGGCTTAATTACGACTGGCCCCCCGATCCGCCATTTCCTGCGCGCCGCTATCTTTTCATTTCCCCGACGCTCGTTTCGCTGAAACGGATGCCCGGTTGCCCCGGCCAACGGAAACGTCCGACTGGAACTTTACGACGACCCTGGACGCGCTTTTATTTCGGATACATTCGACGATTTTTAATACAACCCCAATACAACAGATTGTTTCCTTCGATATAAGCGTCAGAAACTCAGTCTTCATCGTTACTTTCAGATTTTATAAAACTCGCAAATATTAACAATTTACATCGAATTTAAATATTGCAAGGATATTAACACGTGCCCCAATTAAAAGAAAAATTGCATATCAACGCATTAAATGATTTTATTGAAATTTTCTGGAGTTATATGTGGATAATATTAGAATTCTTTTCCTATATTAATATAACGTCTATGAATCCAGTGTTGAAGGCTCGAAATGAACGAGATTTCTTTATGTTTTCAACCCTGTGATCAATCGAGCTGTCCAAAAATGGCTGCCAGCAGCGTTCGCGGTAATTCGAGGTGACACTTGACGTTTTAATTCCCCCCGGATTTGCGTTAGGAATTCCTGTTATTCAACCGAGCCAGTTCGTATCTTACAATTAGATCCCCCGTAACCCCGAATATGTTCGTCCCTGGAACGATTGTCCGGATAGCGGAGGCGAATATCGATCGCGGTTGAAAGGATTCGGAATGTAACCCATTCAGATCGCGGCCTCCGACGCTGATCAATATGTGCGGGGAAAAGTCTTCCTCCGCGGCGGGTTTCCCGTCACGTTTTTCACTCGGAGATACTTCCATTCTGCCCCGGCGTGATTCTTTGCGGAGCCACTTTGACATTTATCTGATTAAAATCGAACGGTCCGCGCCCTTTGTAGGGTCTTCTTTCAAACTACCCCCCTTTTTAATACGTCAAATGCTAACTTCGTTTCAATGTTTCTCTTCAAAGTCACGCTCGTTCGATCCCCGACCTCTTCAGAGTTATTCCAACGATCTAAACGAGAGCTCGATTCACCTGCAATTTACAACATTCTGTCGTTTCTTTTACTTTCTATTCAGGTATTTTCTCGTATTTATAACTCGGACTATATTTGCTGTATAATATTGCGTATTTTCCAAAAATTCAAATTCAGGGAAAGATTTTAAAAGCTTTTAAAATTCGTTGGATATTATTGTCTCCTTGCATATATCTGGCTTTTTTGGTACGATAATCGTGTCATACTTCCCGGGTCGCGGAAAAAGCGGTTGATTCCCCGGGAACAAAAACGCGAACACGCGGCAGCGAGGCGAACTCAATTCCGTTTCTTCCCGGGGAAAATACGATTCATTTTTCCCGCATCTTCCCCCGCGGGATGACTGAAAGTAACCCGGAAACAAGTTCCACCTTCGAACGCGTTTTTCTCGACGCCGATCGACATTACGATCGTTCAACGTAACCGACGCCCGCGTAACGGAGGCGAAATGTAAATGCAGGACACCGGGATTTTATAACATGCCCGCTCGCGAAGGATAAAAGGACAACTCTGACGAAGTACGACGTGACATCGCGGGAACAGATATTCAAATTTCGCGCTTTATTGCCTTGCGTTTTACTCGCCATACTCGGCCACTCTAATCAACGAAACTTTGGGATCCATTTGTTTAACAAGTCGAAATTGGTGGTAGAAACACATTTCTCGTTCGAAATTCGCTGCTCCAGAATTACTTGGGAGGCCATTTTTCGACTATATTTGCCCATATGTTCGTATTTTATACTCGAGTGGTATTAAAATTCAATCTTCTCAAACTCTTTGATACATAGAAGGGTTAGTCGAGCGCTTGCGAGAGAGACAAGAGCGTGGCCCTCTATTGGCGAGTCTGGGAGGTAACGCCCACAATATAAGGCGTGTTTTCACCTCGAAGAAACGAGTTCTATTACAAGATATTCTATTGCAATTTTCGAGCTATTGAATTTTCCCTCACGAGACACCTTTGACATCCATCCGGAAGCCCATCGATGGAGATCCGTTCGCGTCGCCGACAGGCCGTTTTCCGCGTTATTACGCGTAGACGCGAATCGATCGGGCATTAAATGTTTACGACGTCGCGGAAAGGGCCGTGCGCGTCGTATAAAGGGCGCACGTAGGGACTGGACACGGTACACGAGTGGAACGACGCCCCAGGACGAATCTGTCGGATGCACCGGCGTTTCCTGAAATCTTTTCCATTCGAACGCGAGCCCGTAAATGTAAACGCGGAACTCGGGTGGATATATCGCGGGGCGGCCTGCAGTCATCTTTCATGCTCGACTGCCGACGAGATGAGAGCGCCAGCGCCGAGCTCGTTCCCCGGCAGATTCACCAATGACGAATAGGTCGGGGCTGTTGCCTGATTACGTACCCCTCCCCTTCCCCCTCCTCATACGGCCCCGCAACCTCGATGAAATCCCGTGATTCCGGATCGAAAGCATCCCCCTTTTTGCTACCGGGTTCTCTTTTCTCCCTTTGCGCGCGTTTTATTAGATCGAACCGGAGCGAAGGAAACGTTAGAGAATGGGTGCCTCGTTCCGCTCATCGCGACTTTATGGGACTCGATGAATGACGCTCAATAGCGTTTGCCAAGGACATTCGATTCAAAGAACCTGGAAAGCGGACGAGGGAATTGTTTAGACGGTTTTTGAAAAGATCTCGAGCCTCCGTACGGAGCTGGTTATTAGCGAACCGGTCTGCGGAGGCTGCTAGTTTGATTAACGCGGCCAAAGGGTGGACGTCGAGGATGTTAAAGAAATCGTGCTGAAGATTATACCTTGAGAACAAATTTATTACTGCTGTTTGTATAGAATCGAAGATCAAACGTTACTCTTATTTGTTTTCTTTCATTTCGTAAGTGAAAATCTTCTCTTTTGTAAGAGAGTGGCTCTGGAAGAACCAGAGTCAATTTGATAGAAATTTGACTATTAAATTACCACAATATTGACTAAATTTTCTATTCTTAAAAACAGTTGAAACTTGATAATTACTCTGATTTATTTTCTTTCATTTCGTAAGTGAAAATCTTCTCTTTTGTAAGAGAGTGGCTCTGGGAGAACCAGAGTCCATTTTAGAGAAATTTGAATATTAAATTACCACAATATTGACTAAATTTTCTATTCTTAAAAACAGTTGAAACTTGATAATTACTCTGATTTATTTTCTTTCATTTCGTAAGTGAAAATCTTCTCTTTTGTAAGAGAGTGGCTCTGGAAGAACCAGAGTCAATTTGATAGAAATTTGACTATTAAATTACCACAATATTGACTAAATTTTCTATTCTTAAAAACAGTTGAAACTTGATAATTACTCTGATTTATTTTCTTTCATTTCGTAAGTGAAAATCTTCTCTTTTGTAAGAGAGTGGCTCTGGGAGAACCAGAGTCCATTTTATAGAAATTTGAATATTAAATTACCACAATATCGACTAAATTTTCTATTTTTAGAGATAGTTAAAACTTGATAAACGCTGAAAATAGTTCTCGATGAATTAATATTTCCCAGGATAATTTAATTTCCAGTTTTCTGGACGCGCCGTGTGGGTTGCAAAGTTCTGAACATTGCTAGACGTCCCCTATCGGTTAAGACTAACAAACTAGGCTGTCGAACGAGGCCCTGGTTGCTCCCGTAGCGATACACAAAACAGATTTCCCAAGTTGGCGATCCGCAGTATGTTTCTTAGAGAATGTTCGACGAATTTGCCGATCAGATGAGTTCCCCGCATTAATTTTGGAAGTTCGGCGAGCTACGTCAGCTCGGCCGGCGGATAGCACGAACGGTTCGCATTGCGAGTCATGAATCGAGAGGAATCTCGAGGACTTCTTACTACAGTATCCGAGTAATAAGCAGTGTACAGTGGACCACGCCGGGTATCTCGCGTCTAATAACTGGAGAATCCACTTACGTATCTTGTTGCTCGAATTCCCGTGGAAGTCTCTGCGCAGGACTGCAGATTCTCTCCAGAGATTTCGTGGTGCCAAGCATCCCTTCTTCGGGGATGCCGTCGTATATTTCGATCGCCGATTGGCACGATTGGGCGCTGCAAGATCAATAGAGAATGCGTCAACGTCGTACTGTCGTCCATACGATTCGTATTTGTCAGTTATTCGGATCAGAAATTGCCTAAAACTAAAAACATATCAAATACGAGTCTTTTCAATTCGTACTTGGTCGTGAGACTATGAACATATGAGTAAAATTGTAGCTTCGATTTGTTGATTGAGGCTCCTTTAAAAAGTTATAGAAACATTTCCGGTCACCCAGTATATTTTCGGCAAAGAATTTTTTTCTCGAAAGTACGTAAGATTTCGGGGGTATGTGTATTCACCAAAAATGATTGTAATTGACCCCTGCAAATGAAAATATTTTTTTTAGAACGATTTGAAAATTTTAATTTTTTCGAAAATCTCAGCACCTACTCGAATTTTTTACTTGAAAGTGCGTAGGATTTCGAGGGTACGTCTATTCACCAAAAATTATTGTAATTAACTCCTGCAACCGAAAATAATTTTTTCAGACCGATTTGAAACAAATGAAATTTCAAGGGAATCATTCCATTCCTGGTCAGACGTATTTTCGGTAAAGAATTTTTTCCTCGAGAGTGGGTAGGATTTTGGGGGTATGCCTATTCACCAAAAATGATTGCAATTGACTCCCTCAACTGAAAATAATTTTTCCATGAATGATTTGAAATTTTTTAATAACTTTTTAGCGAAGCTTCAAACAACAAATTAGTATCCTACATTTTCGTCCTATTTTGGCCCCTGGAATCTGGCCCTGCATACAACTCGACTCTGGAGATCAACTTAACTGCTGGAATGGCAGTACGGTTGTCCAAGAATTTTAATTTGTTTACCACGTAATGAAAAGAAACTAACTGTGGGAATGGGCGGAACGGTTGTCCAAGAATTTCAATTTATGTTCACCGCGTAATGAAAAGATGCCTGAGACTATACGCAAGCTCTGATTATTAGTTTGATTATTTCGTCGATATCGAAAAAGCGAGACTAAAAATTTGCGTCGCCCGGGCGAACGAATTATGTCCGCCGCGACGAGCAATTAACTCGACTGAATGGCTCCCGTCCATTCGGTGAAAAGTTTTTCGAGAATTTTAATTACAGGTTCAAATTTATTCTCGCGACCATTCTGTTACGTAAATAAGAACGGCGACGAAAAGCGTTCCCGAAGGCAGCGAGAGCGTGAAGGAAAAGCGGAGAGATGGTGATAGCGGCGTATCGATCATGATAAATAATGCAAGCTGGATGGATATGGGTGGGGGAGCTGGAGGGCTGTTAAAAATTTGCGCGCGAAGCACGTAGTTTTCGCGGAATAAATATTTGAACGACGAACTTTGGGGAGAAAAAATTAGGGGGGAAGAAAGTTGTGATATTTCAATACTGCATAATCACGCGAATTTATGGATCCAAAGTGCAAAAACCTCGCTTTGGGAATACACGTGAAAGTTGCAGGAGCGTTTGGAAATATTTCTGATTATTTTGCAAACTTGGTGATCGCTACAATGCTAAGCTATAATTTGTGTATTCGTCTATTGATATCGAGACCATCCAGACTATTTAGCAAATTGCATCGAGTCGAAATCCGATTACACGTATATATCACATAATTGTCCTATCAGACTTGAAGCGTCTGATTAGACTGGCGATTATCGGATTTAATCAATAGGGATTTAACAAATAATCCGTCTAATGCAGTATGCATTCCAGCATGCTCACGCATATACACACTCAGAAAGAGAGAAAGTGATCAAAGTGATCTACAAGTCTCCATTCGAACAGCTAGAAACATTTTTTACAATTTTCGTGTCGAGTTGAGAATAATTGTGCCTTCAGCAGGGACCCATGGTCCGCCATCTTGCAAATCCAGGTGAAATTTAGAGTCATCTCGACTTGTCTTCCATGATGAAAATACACTACATATAAATTTGTTACGGCCATTTTCACGACCTAATCAGAATGATGGAAGGTGGGTATCTTTTTGGTAGGAACTGCAGCAATAAGAACCGTGATCTACCACCCCTGCAGAAGTGGATTAAAGTTTTAAAGGGGCGAGTTGACTGCTTCCCCAGGTTCCCCTCAAGAAATAGAACGACGCGTCTCTGCCTTCAGGACACCCTTTTCCCGGTCTGCGGGTGCCTGAATTAACAATATTCCATTCAAAATTGATGCCCCCTTCAATAAACCCTACGGTCTGTCTTACGGTTCCTAGTCTCTCATTCTCTCGGTTTAGCCGTACGCCTGTACGCGTGTCTTCTCTTAGTTTATTCCCGGTTATATATATATCACTGTAGCCTCAGACCCACGGGGTTACGTGCAGCTCCTTGGCTACGGTTTCGGGCGAAGAGAAAGGAGCTTCCAACCCGGTCGTGTGTTCCATCCCTTACGGGAACATATCTGCAAAGCCACGAATGCACGGTCCGCGCGTTTCAGCCATTGTGCATGATAATTGAAAATCCCAGGGATACGAGCCAGCCGCATTCCCGTGTGATTTAGTGCTACTTCGTATCTATTACTTCCGAGAGGATGAAGGAGGCAGGAGGTTTCTGCTGGCGCGGTTCGATGAGTTATGCTGATTGATACGTACCAACAGAAAACGAGATTCTTAGGCGCCCAAGAACGCATATCGAGGGAACCAGGGAACCTGAGGGGGCGCCACGTTCGACAAGATTTACTCGAAATTCTTGGAACGCTTAATTTAATTTCGATTCCTGAAAGAAAGTTCGAAGCTTATTTTTTAACGCGTCTCCAGTGTAATTTTACTTTCAAGTTCGAAACGACTCCGCTGCAGCCGCTTCCAATAAACGTTGCTCGACCCCCGTGGCTGCGATGCTTTCGCGAATTTTAATTAAAAAATTTAACGGCGTATTTTTAAGATCGACTTTCCAGAGTATTAATTCCTCGAGTAATCTTCGCGTAATGTAGAGCCCCCGTTTTGCGCGGCGTTATCGAAGAAGCGTCCCAAACTCGTGCACCGCGCCTTAAGAGATATTCAAATGCTCGAGATATCCCATTTGCACGGCGTCTCCCAGCGCATGTAAATTCAGCCCCCGAACTGCGGACTCCCTTCCGCGAGTGTTGCACCACCGACGTGGTATATATTGATTATCAACTTCAAACCGTTGCCTAATGCACCGGGCGAGTTTTTTCGCTGCTCGAACGGTCGAGTAATTAAATAGGACCGACCATGGGGCGGTGACCACGACGAGCAGGAAGTTCGTGTTTGATTTTACGCGCGTTTCGTCGGCGTCCAACCGGCCGGGACGACACGACTCGAATTTGCAAGAGCTCCCCGGTTGCATCGAGGACCCTCAAACGCGACTCCACGAAAAAGGTAAACAAATGAAATGCAATTCCAGCCACGGACCTGGCGCCGGCTCACGGACCGCTACGTGACTGCATTTCCGTGTGGCTTTTGCCCTTACGGTCCAATGCGATCGCCTTAAAACCGTGCCACGGTGTAGCTACTCGCAGGCATGTTAAGCGATCGCAGTTTCACGCCTTTTGGACCGCAGGCACGTGTGCGTGGAAAAAGTATCGACGTGGCGCGCGGCGAATCAAAGGCCAAACGTGTTTCGTGATTTATTTCAATCTTTCAGTGCCGTGTAACCGTTTTCTTGTCGGAGAAAGCACTAAAATTGTTTTTATTATGTTATCGGTGGTTGGAAGCCATTTTTTGTCTGCGTGGAATAAACTAGAGGACTCATTTGGGGAATTGTCATGTTTATCAAGGGGATTACAAGTTCTTGGTTGTGTCTTTAATTTATTTCTACTTTGGAAGATAGGGGAATATTGTTAGAAGACAGTTGAGTAGCTGCAATTTTATTTATATAGATCATATAGATTAAATATGGCTTTCAGAGTTGAAACAGTTTCTGTCAACTATTTTTCTTGGGGTAGTACTGCTTTAACGAATTTTTTTCTCGAAAGGGCGTAGGATTTCGGGGGTATGTGTGTTCACCAAAAATGATTGTAATTGACCTCTGCAGCCGGAAATATTTTTTCCAGGACGATTCGAAATTTTTTTTTTTAAATTTAGGCACCTACCCACTGCCGATTTTTTTTAAAATTTGTTTGACGCTGTACGAAAAAGTTGTTTAGTACTTTTTTGTAGGTATTCATAAGCTCTACTTCACCACTAAATCTCAATTAAATACATTGACTATTGTAGGAGTTATGGACATTTGAAGATTGGACCATTTTTATGGGGGTTTTCTCCCTTTTTACATGGTCAAGAAACAACGTTACGAATATTTTTAGAATCTCTACATATTCCTGACTAAAATACGCGTTGTTTGCCTTTTGAAACATTAAAATCCTTCAATCCGTTCAGAAGTTATAATGTTTCAAACATACGCATGATATTTCAGTGAAACATATCAATGCTATGGTCAGACATTTTTCGGTAATGAATTTTTTCCTCGAAAGTGCGTAGGATTTCAGGGGTATGTCTATTGACCAAAAATGGTAGTAATTAACTCCTACAACTAAAAATAATTTTTTTAGAACGATTTGAAATTCTTTTATTTAGTCGAAAAATTGATCCATTTATTGAATTTTTTTCTCGAAACTGGTTAGGATTTCGGGGGCATGTCTAATGACCAAAAATAATTGTAATTAACTTCTACAATTAAAAATAATTTTTTTAGAACGATTTGAAATTTTTTCAGTTTGTTGAAAAATTTATCCAATTATTGAATTTTTTTCTCGCAATTGGTTAGGATTTCGAAGGTATGTGTTATGACCCAAAATAATTGTAATTGACCCCTGTAACTAAATATAATTTTTTTAGTATGATTTGAAATTTTTTAATTTTGACGACAAATTTATCCAATTATTGAATTTTTTTTCGAAACTGGTTAGGATTTCGAGGACATATCTAATGACCAAAAATGATCGCAATTGACCCCCGGAACCAAAAATAATTTTGTTAGAACTATTTGAAATTTTTCTTTTCCCTGAAAAATTTAGGCACCTACCCCCTGTAGATTTTTCTTAGAAATTCGTTTTTCATTTTTAATAAATTTGTTTGACGCTGTATGAAAAAGTTGTTTAGTACTTTTCTGCAGGTATTCATAAGCTCTACCTCACCACTAAATTTCAATTAAATCCATTGACTATTGTAGGAGTTATGGACATTTGAAGATTGGACCATTTTTATGGGGGTTTTCTCTATGTACAGGGTTAAGGAACAACTTTTCCAATATTCTTAGAATTTCTACATATTCTCCATTAAATTACGCGTGGTTTGCCGTTTGAAACATTAAAATCCTCCAATCCGTTTGGAAGTTATGATGTTTTAAAGATACCTATGAAATTTCAGTAGAACGTTTAAATGAATGGTCAGACATAAAATTTTCGGCAATGAATTTTTTCCTCGAAAGTACGTAGGATTTCAGAGGTATATCTATTGACCTAAAATGGTTGTAATTGACCCCTGCAATGAAAAATAATTTTTTTAGACCGATTCGAAATTTTTTCATTTCGTCGAAAAATTTCACACCTTCTCGAATTTTTTTCTCGAAACTGATTAGGATTTCGAGGGTATGCTTATTGACCAAAAATGATTGCAATTGACCCCCGGAACCAAAAATAATTTTTTTAGAACGATTGGAAATTTTTAAAATTTAGGCACCTACCCCCCGTCGATTTTTCTTAAAAATTCGTTTTTGATATTTAATGCATTCGTTTAATGCCTTTTAGAGGCAGCAGCTACTCGCGAATTGGCTCAGGAATAAATCAGTGGCTGTGGATGGATGTATATAAATGGACGAAGACTCGAAGGGGAGTTAAAAGACAGGTAAAAGCGAAGCGTGGAAGGTCGTAAGGCAACGAAAGGTCGGCTTGGCGTTACCTGAGATTGTAACTGGCCAGCGAAACGTGTCCGGTGTCATAAGCACGTCCGCGAAGGACGAGCCGACACGTCGTGGACTTCAGTTTCCCTCTGGTATCGTGGTGACCCGTGCGGTCCTCCTCGCCGCTGACCTCGAGGTCGCAGCTGCTCGTCACCGAGTCCTGGTCTTTTCTGTGATCGTGGAGGGCCCGATTGTTGTAGTGCACGTTGTAACCGATCGACTTCATCGTGTCCACTGGAAAATACGCGTCCTTGAGTACTACCCTGCTTTATTGAAACAAGGACGACCCGGTTACGGGGATGTCGCGCTCCGATTGAAACCGGAATACACGGACTTAATTATCGCGAGCATGATCTCAACCTAGAAAGACTTAGAGTAGCGATAATTACCCAAGCAGGCTATCTTAAAAATATCTAATTACAGTGTTAAAATAGTGAAATTATATCAATACTATAGAACATATAAAAGAGGAACGAAATGTAATTTAGTGGACCAATATATCAAGCTTCAATTAGATTAAAATAAACGATTTTCAATTTGATGAAATATCGCTTCAAGGACAACGTGTCGAACGAATCATTTAGTTAGGTACAATTGCACGTTTTATCGTTGTTTGTCGAGCTAGATTTAATTTACACGTAGAGGCGGAGAAAAGTTCCGCGCTTCCCTCGAAGTATAAATCGAATCTGGTCGAATATAGCAAATATTGACACGGGAAGGAAACGTAATTAACGGATGGATGGATTAGTTGTACAGGGCACTTACCACTCTTACTGACGGTGTCCGCGGTGACTGTCGTCGGCCTCTCCGTTGTAATTTCGATGAAACTTAGGCTAGCGACGAAACCATTGTAGTCGAACGGTGGCACTTCCGGACCCGTTCTGAAAAGAAACGAATTTGCTGGTTCACAGAAAAGAAATTACAAGCTTTCACAAATGAAAAACATCTACTGGATCTTATAAAAATACATTCAGATTTGCACAATTTGCACGGATATTAAAGAAGCTCTTCGATACAAATGGAAGCTCGTAAGTCTATATACCAAAAGGCAGGTTTAATTAAAATCTATACGAACGTACGTATCTGCTTCCGTGCAATTAATTTAAAAACATCGATTAACAAGATTCTGCCGGAGATTTGTAGTTTTACCTGAACTCGACCAGGAGTTTCTGTCCATTGTACATCAACGACGTTTTCTCCTTCCCGCAGATCATCTTCAGAAGAGGACTCGAAGTTGTTGGACCCGAGTACACTGCTATATAGTCGCTCGCGCAGTGACTGCAACAGACAGGAATAAAAATAAATTTCAATGGTTGCTAATTAGTTTTTTCAACCGACATTTTTCTCTGTCCTGTGTCACGTGTAACATTTTTGTGTATTTTTATTTGCAAAGAACGGGTATCCAGATTTCAAAGAGCGTGAAAAACAACGGTACCGGATGACGTTTTTGTTTAGATTTTTAAACCGTAACCGAACATTCTGGTTCACAAAATCCAACAATTCCTTTGGATTCTTTGTGTTTTAAAATTTGTATTTATTTCTTTTTCCACGCAGAATCGATCCCTCTTCGGTTGCATTAGGATTTGGCGATCGCGCGAAGTGTTAACCGCGAGTTACGTTTAAGCGATTGCGGGGCCGGTAATTCCCCCAGTACAAATCGCTAAATCGATCCGAGGGGATAAATGAATTATTCTTGCAAATTGAAAATTCGCGGAAACTTGTTCCCGCTGTTTATTTTGTTAGCGCAGACCGCTATTGACACTCGTCGGCAAATATTCCCCGCGGGGGGTAGTGGAAGGGTGGAATGTTCATGGAAAAATTCGATAACCGAGCGGACTAAATTAAACTTCCTCATCGTCGGATACCCCGGCGTTCAGTTTTCTTTGTATACATACCGGATATCGGGGAGGAAAGTGTGCATGAAAAAGGCCAAGGATTTACGTACTTCGTTACTTCGACGAGATCCTCGAGTCCCCATGGGTTTGGGATAACTCGAAGCTTTTCGAGTTGGATCGATCAACGTTCTTATTAATTAACTTCCCCATTGGCATTTATTATATTTACCGCGATCAAACTAAGACTGTACATTATAGGCTTTCAGACTCTTTCTCAAATGAATGCACCATAAATTAAAACAAAGTTTCATGAAACGTTTCGTTGAACTCCATATTAATTCTACATTTTAATTCTATGAGCTTCAGTTTTACTAGTGTGTTCTGTAGAATATCCAAAAGTAAAAATTTGAAAACACTCATGATTTGTACTAACACTAGAACTACCAACAATTACAGTGAATTTATTTCTACCAAAGAAATTAAAACGATATATACATAAAAAAATATATTAATAAATGGAAATAAATGTATACTCATTCTCTTACAGAAAATTAAAGTAAACTTTCAAAAATTCAGTCGAATAAATTATTTACAAGTCTTATTAGAAATTACGAATCATTTTGACTGCTTTGGTAGTTCTAGTATTAAACAGGTACGAAGAGAGTTTTTTGAAACGTGGGTTTCGAGTATAGCTTCAACGCCAGAATTCAACATTATTTTAATAATTTTTACAACAACGAAATACAGGTCATCGAGGAGTAGCTTTTAACGATGATTTAAATTGGAGTTCCGGAGAAACTAGGTCGACGCTTAGTCGAGTGCTCGCGTGTTCGACGATTTTCGAAATCGATTTTCCCCCGAAAGAAGTGCGTTCCGCGTTTCAGGATTTATTTATCATCGAGGAACGTTCAACGTGGAATCGCTGTCCAACGCGTCGCACAGTATCCTAACGAGGATTCTCGTCTAATGAGCAGTCTCATAAGTGCGATAGGATTGCACGTGGTCGGATGTCACGTACGTTTATTAGGAAACCGTCCATGATCGGACCTCGCGCAAATAGTGCATCCAATCGATTACGGAATATCGTGTTCGAACGGAATCGGTTCCGCGAGTGACCAGATATCCAGCAAGTAGAATTCTGATAGCCCACGTCGTCGAATAAGTAGTATCGGTACGCGCCATAGCAGACATCTCCGTTAATAGTGGAATATACCGTTACGATAAGACGTGGAATTAGTAGAGCAGGTATTACTCAATTGCACATCCGGTAGAATAAGCCTTGTATCTGCGAGGAACCGTATCAGTAGATTGTATACATCTGTAAACCCCCATACGACAAGTAGAATGGATCAACCAGGGTCGGATATCGAGTCTGTAATCTATTATTAAATTAATTGCGAGAATCTGCGGCGTCCCACAGATATTCTGCCATTAAATTGCGTGTCTATAATCATAGTAGACGTGACAATTATGTCAACACGATCATGCTACATTTGATTTAGAAGTAGACTTCTGTTCTGAAAATGCGAGGTTCTTTGTGCAAAAATAAAAATTGTGGGCTGATTAAAACGGAGAGAATTCAAGGCGAGACTCTAAAGCTTAATATATTGTTCGTGGAAGTTGTAAAAGAAATGTTTTTCAAAAGAAAGTGTAGTCGAAACTTGGAAAGACGTTTTTGTAATCGAATTTTGTTATTTTTGAGATTGCATGGTCTTTTATAGAAGGGTGTTCAGCCACACCAGGGAAAAATTTTAATGGGTGATTCTAGAGGCCAAAACAAGACGAAAATAGAGGATACTAATTTGTTGATTGAGGCTTCGTTAAAAAGTTATAGAAACATTTCCGGTCACACAGTGTATTTTTGGTAAAGAATTTTTTTTCTCGAAAGTACGTAGGATTTCGGGGGTGTGTCTATTCACCAAAAATGATTGCAATTGACCCCTACAACTGAAAATAATTTCTTTAGAACAATTTTAAATTTTTAAATTTTTTCGAAAATCTCAGCACCTACTCGAATTTTTTTCTCGGAAGTGCGTAGGATTTCGGGGGTATGTGTATTCACCAATAATGATTGTAATTGACCCCCGCAACCGAAAATAATTATTTTAGAACGATTTGAAATTTTTTTTCGCCGAGAAATTTAGACACCTACCCTCTGTCGATTTTTCCTTGAAAATAGTTTCTGATTTTTAGTAATTTTGTTTGACGCTCTACAGAAAAGTTGTTTAATATTTTTTTGTAGGTATCCATGAGTTCTACTTTCTCCTAAAATTTCAATTCAATATATTCACTATTCTAGGAGATATTGCCGTTTGAAAATTGGACCATTTTTATGGGGTTTCTCTAACTTTACGGGGTTAAGGGACAACTTTTCCAATATTCTTAAAATTTCTACATATTCTCCATTAAAATACGCGTAGTTGGCATATTGAAACATTAAAATCCTCCAATCCAATTAGAAGTTATGATGTTTTAAAGATACCTATGAAATTTCAGTAGAACGTCTAAACGCATGGTCGGACATGAAATTTTTGGTAATGAATTTTTTTCTCGAAAATGCGTAGGATTTCGGGGGTGTGTCTATTCACTAAAAATGATTGTAATTGACCTTCGTAACCAAAAATAATTTTTTTTAAAAGATTTGAAATTTTTCATTTTCGGCAAACATCAGCTGCCCCCTGTCGCTTTTCTTAAAAATTCGTTTTTCATTGTTAATAACTTTGACGCTATACGGAAATATTGTGTAATACTTTTTTGGAGGTATCCATGGGACCTACTTTCAGACTAAATTTCATTGAAATATATTCACTATTGTAGAAGTTATGGCCATTTGAAAATTGGACCATTTTTATGGGAGTTTTCTAACTTTACGGGGTTAAGGAACAACTATTCCAATATTCTGAGAATTTCTACATATTCTCCATTAAAATACGCGTTGTTTGCCTCTGGAAACATTAAAATCCTCCAATCCATTCAGAAGTTATGATGTTTTAAAGACACATGAAATTTCAGTAGAACGTCTAAACGAATGGTCAGACATGAAATTTTCAGTAATGAATTTTTTCCTCGAAAATGCGTAGAATTTCGAGGGTATGTGTAATGACCAAAAATGATTGTAATGGACCCCCGTAACCGAAAATAATTTTTCCATGAATGATTTGAAATTTTTTAATAACTTTTCAACGAAGCCTCAATCAACGAATTGATATTCTTGATTTTCGTCATATTTTGACCTCCAGAATCTACCATTAAAATTTTTCCCAGAGGTCGAACACCCTGTGGAATCGTTATAGCTCGGTATGATGTGTTAGCGATATTTCAATATCCACGCGCGAGTTATTGCGCGGTTCGTTGTCGAAATATAAACATTTCCGTGCAGTAAAGCCCGTAATCCCCACCGCGGAAGACAGTCGTGTAATACGGAAAAGCGGGTTCACGAGAGCGTGGCACATTAATCGCGGCGTACTAGAAGCCGGGCGGTGAATTAATCTACATTAGTTAGTTCTATAGTTCTACATTAGTTACACGCAGTTACGTGCAATATCTGTTGGCGCGGCCCTGATTACGTAATAGGAACGCGATGCTAGCTGCCGCGTTGCCGCATCTAATGTATCCGCGTGCCCAGTTATTGCCATCCACGGGATTATTACCGTAATTGCATTCGTTGCAATTCTCCGGTAGAATCGTTCCAGGGGCGTAGCGTTTAATATGCACGGCAATGGCGCGACCGGGCAAAAATAATAATCCCGAGACTCTTTTTTTTTGGGGGGGGGGGGGTTTATTCCCCCCGATCGAGCGCAACGCGTGCACGGATAATACGAAACGCGTCATCGCGATGTCGAAAGCGTCGAACGAATCGGTAAAAAATGTTCTTGAATATTTCAGTGGAAATCAATCGCGATGGAAACACGTTACGAGACACACGGTGCCCCCCGTAATTCGCCACGCAGAATTGATTTTTTATTCATTGTAAACACGTTCGACGATTTTCACGAATTTTTCCCTCAATGTTAAAAGATTTTATTATTGTAGATACTTTTTTGTATACTTTTATAGACAGTGAATCAGAACACTTTTTGTTCTGTGCTTTTGGTAGAGTGTATTCGGCGAGGTAGAAAGTTTTAATTTTCTCGATAGGTAAGGTTGGGAAAATTTTGTTCCTGAATAACCGATTGGAATTTTAGATTCATTCGGGAAGCTTTTTACGGGTTAAAAAATTAATGAACGTAACGGCGGACGGGAAGTTATTTTGCAAATGTATCGAAATTTTTTGTTCAAAGTTCCACGAATCGACGGTGGAAATTCATGTTCGATAAGGTTGGGAAATGTTATTCTGAATGTCTTTAAAATGGATCTCGTTGACTTTAAAGTCTCGTAAGAAGATTAAGAAGAATTATTTCTATCGTTACCTGCCTCTCTTTTAAAATAACGAACGCTATCTTA